CTATTTTTCGGGTGTACATATAAGGCTATATCAACTCGATGCAAAATTTTTTTCACTCCAAAATCACTTAGCTTTTCCCTCAAAAGTCACATGAATGTGCCCTTAAGTTAACTGATTTGTGGAATACAAAATTATTGTTTGATTTAAGTTACAAATTTATCAATGGGAGCTTCGCTTTTAGCTGTGGCTAAATATACATATTAAACTTGTCGAATGCAAAAAATTTGGTCTGATTTGTTTTCCAAGAATTTGTTTTCCACGCCTTATCTACTGTGATCAAGAGCCATCACTGCTCTTAAATGTGACCGAAGGCTATTTTTCGGGTGTACATATAAGGCTATATCAACTCGATGCAAAATTTTTTTCACTCCAAAATCACTTAGCTTTTCCCTCAAAAGTCACATGAATGTGCCCTTAAGTTAATTGATTTGTGGAATACAAAATTATTGTTTGATTTAAGTTACAAATTTATCAATGGGAGCTTCGCTTTTAGATGTGGCTAAATATACATATTACAAGTATGATAAGATGATTCCAAAGTATGGAATCGGTCCTTTAGATCATATTAAGATTTGGATTTCTTTTTGCCTATTCACTGCTCTTTAGTGTGGATGCAACTTTTCCCCGATCCTCAGAGAATTAGAGCTTCGCTTAAAATAACCGCAAACTGCGGTCTGATTTGAGGAAATTTTCACTCAAAAGCTTACGCCTAATAGTCCAAAACATAATTTTCAGAAAATTTCTACGAAATTTGTTTGGTGCATTAACTGCAAATAAACTGGGTTTTTATTTCTGGGATATATATTTTATGGATTGGAAGTTAGGTTTTGAAGCTGTTCAGCCTCAAATTAAATGATAATTTGTTTTAAAATTCCTCAGGTAATTCCGACTGACAATCAAATTTCCCTGAGAATATTTTATCTGAATTTGTATATTAAACTCTAAACGTGTTTACGCGAGTAAAATTTGAAACCGTCTCCCCCGTATACAGCGATGTTACTGTAATTTCATAATGGCATATTTGGTCAGAATAATTTTTAGAGATCGCTTAGCGATTCAAAGGGAACAGCGCCGATAAATTTATATAGAAATCTTTGTGGGATTTCTAGGTTTTTTACATGAACGATAAATCGTTTGGAAGTCGATATAAGTCAAGCGACAAATCGCAAAAAAACTTAACAGAGTAGTCGTAATGGAAACTTATTTTAACAGTTCCCTTTTGGTATGTAAAAAAAATGAAAATTTGACTATGAATTACTCTATTTTGTTGAATAAAAATTAGACCGACAAAGTTGACGAATGTTTGCCCAAATAGTGTTCTTACCCGTAAAATGGATGTCAGAAGTCTCATCATTGACGATATTGGACCCATTACTCCACAGAAAATAAGAGTTCAGTTCTCCGAAAATTTTGGAGTTTCTTTGTTCCTGTTTTGTCCAGTTTACTTGTTTAATGTTTGATATCTTAAAATGGTTATTGTTCATTAATGACACTTTTGAAAACAAACTTCATCCTCTTAACAAATAGAAATGTCACCTTTCTTTCCCTCTCTGCGTGGAGTTAAACCAAATTTACCAAACAAAAAAGTTTTTGTTCGCAGATGAAAAATTTAAATTGTAAATATAATCCCTTCGTTCTCTGTTTTTTTTTGTCAGTGACTAGGCCACTGCAGTCACTACGAGTCTTAAAGAATGTACATGAAAATATTTCTTTTCACGATAAAACCAATGATTAGTTAATGAAAAACATGTCATTCAGAAGATCTTTAGTGTGCAGAGAAACTCTCCTATCGAAGGAGTCTCTATTACCATTACTAATCCTGTGTTTATTCGTCCTTATTTCATACGTCTCTGTTATACAGGCTTTTTTCAAAAAAATCGCTTGAATGTATAGTTGAAATCTTTTCAGGTAAGTGTCGTATAATTACAATTTCTTTAACCACGCAAGGGGCTTCAAAGTCCATTTTAAAACTACGAGTAACGTGGGTAATTAGATTTATTATTTCTTGCATCGTCAAGTTGAATTTTAGATACATTTGAGGTTGATTTCTCGTGATGAATAAGTATAACACATTATTGCTCTTCGTAGTATAGAATAGGTCACGCAAAGCAGGAAGTCAAACGACGCGTGTAAAGAATACAGGCACGAAAGCTGAAAGGGGATCAGTGCTTCGGCCCGAGCACATTGACCTTAAAATGATATTTATTTCAGTTATAGCAGGAAACATTTTCTCATTAAATTCAGCGTGCGACAATTGTAGTACTTGTATCCTCTCTAACCTCTCCTCGAGTAGTATTTGTGTAGTAGAGCTTCAGTATGTAATAATGGCAAGCTCTGCACTACAAGACTGTGTGTTCAAGATGAATTTAACTTAAACGAAGAAAGAGGCAATTTATCGTCAGAAATGGCGGGAGCATTTAATTGAGTAATGTTTAAAACACGAACAGCAGTGATTTGTCACTATTTAAAATTTCCAGCGCTTCGTGCTCGAATTTTTAACCAGTGATAACCCACGTGCTGTGAGCGCTTTGAACAGCTTCAAAAACGTCCCCGGAGTATTTCATCTCAATAGGGCTGCTAAATAATGCATTTTTCTTTTTAAAACCTGCTGATTGAAAAACGTTTAACAAAAGCAGCAAAAATAACAAATGTTGGGCAGAAACATTTATGCAATTGCATTATGCAACTGAAATAAACAGTTTTTCATTTACTGGAGTCCGAAAAAATTATAAGTGAGACAAAGCAAAGATAACAATAGATCTCGGTGGATGACAATGGACACTGAACGAAACATGAATAACAATGCAGATTAAAGACAATGGATTCCGGCATATGAAACTGAAGTCCAGCCAAACAAAAGCGTCTTCTTGCCTTCGCAAAACGGTATCCAAATTAAAGAAATTTCACAGGTAACTGGCTGCACAAGGGGAAGAAAATGCTCGAGTAGAGTGGGGATAAATCTAACTGCATCGCGACGTAATGGACATTGATAATTTTTACGGAATTGCAAACTGGTAAGAATTCAATTTTGCATGCTTGTGACTCATTTCGTCCATTCCTTTTTGGAATGGTAACATGGAACGCGGGTTGGTGCTTTTTTGGTTAGAAAACTTCGAACTTCGTTTTAGAATTAGTTCTGACTGGTCAAAGGTTTTTTGTTCGGTTAAGCATGAAAATTTATTTTAAACTTTTTCTGGAAGTTAAATCTTGTCAAATTGATTTATATGCAAATTAGGAGGGCCGTCAATATAAAATTTCATAATTATTAGTAGCGGAGCTCCACACGCGCGCGTGGGGAGATCTCCATAGCTAAGAAAATCTATCCATCCGAGAAAAATTAGTAATCACGTGATCGTGCACCGACCGCCGACCACCGACCGTCCGTCCGCACCACAGGGTAACCAATGTTTACTCTCACACTTTCTAGCTATAGCTAGTTTAGGAGCCAAGGAGAAAACTGATTGCACATCAATGGCGTGATCAATTGTCAGCTGTCAAAACAGGGTATCCTCTGACCAGTATCACCTGACCGTATCGTGGGCTCTGGTGTCGACCCATCGAGGTCCAACTCGTACCCAGAGTTTTCGGGATTTTTGGTTAGCGGGGAAACGTCGGCGAAGACTCTGGGAAAATGGAATTGCATTAATCAGTGGTCGGTTCCGGTAATTCTACTTTTTGCAAAAAACGCGGATTACGACAATGAAAAATGCCTAAATATCAAGGTGTTTATTTGTATTTCACACTCAAAAATAAAAATAGGATACCGTTTTTTAACTTTCATTCGCCGTTATGAAAACCTGAGAAAAGTGCCCCCTTTTCTCATGAAAAGCCGGATATTTTTTGGATTTGTCTTCGAGTGAAGTGAACCAACTTTCTTGAGTAATATTTATATCTCACTAATCGAAAAAAAAAGGTGGATAGAGAAATTTCTCGAGTTTTCTTAACTTTTTGTCTTTTTCTTCAAACTCGAAAAAAGGTCGACTTTTTCCCGGCCCCTTTCTTTGCTTGGTCTTTTTGGCGGAATATAGGTGGGAATTCCAATCTTCGGTCCTCTCGACTGACAGCTGTCAAAAAATGGTGGGAAATTTTGAGCAATCGTGGCATTAATTTACAAGTATTTATAGATGGTTTTTATAGTGACGTCATCAAACTGTGAAGTCAAAATAGCGAGGTTTTCCTTTTTTAATTCTTATTTACACTAGGTTGAAGATAAACAAAAAGTTAATTTTTGTACAAGTTTCCATTCCTGTAGCATGTTTCTTTTCGAAAATACAGCAATTTGAACTTCCGAGTTCTCACAGCGCGAGACACGAAAATAGGAATGCTGTCTCTTTGAAAAAAAGTCTCTCCTCTTGATTTTCAGCAGTATAACCATTTCAAGTATTAGAAGATATGCTTATGCGCACGTATGCTAGTTCTCGAGTGAAAGGAAAGAGCTTTGATAGAAAAAGTGAACTTCGGATGTTTTGTTGATTTCTGGCGGCCATATTGGTGCACCAAAACGGTGCACCAATATGGCGTCTCCATACAAAGCTCTACAAAGGTGCATGAAACGTTTCGGCAAATAACTCAGAAACTTTGGACCACCAAGACCTGAGACTTGGACAAATTAGTCTTTTAAAACATTTCATTTTCTTGGCTTCTTCCACTTGACGGTTTCCAATTTATTTTTTTGTTTCGTGACAGTGAAAACGATCTATATGTAGTTGCTGGTAAAACTAAAGTCTTCAACTCTAAACAGAGGTAATCTCGCCATGATATTTACGCTCGATCTAAACCAGGGGATCTACGTGCATTTCCTTCGAAGAAGGGGAGATAATTTCACCATTAGTTACGTCTTGCTTTTAGCCCGTCGAGGATTTTGAGAAGACATTAATGAGGACGGGGACAAGAACAAATCTCAACCCCCCGCCTGGGCAGAGTGCGCTGTCCGTATTTAAACGACCAACCTTCACAATCACCGAGAAGGGTCAAGTGGCGTGGAAGAAATCGCTTGTAGTGGTGGACATTTTTGCTGTCTGGCGAAATCAGAGAAGAGTTGAAACATTGCAGGAAAAAACGTGTGCAACTACATATAAATACTGTAAATTAACGTCACAATTCATTGCTCGCAATTACCTGTCATTTTTGACAGCTGTCAGTCGAGAGGACCGAAGAATGGGATTCCCGCCTTTATTTGACAACTGTCCGCTTAAAAGACCAAACAAAGAAAGGGGAAAAAGTCGACTTTTTTTTACTTTGAAGAAAAAGGCACAAAATTGAAAAAACTCGAGAAATTTCTCTTTCCATCTTTTTTGCGATTGGTGAGATATAAATATTACTCAAGAAAGTTCTTTCACTTTATATCGAAGCATGAGCCATAATGGCTCTTGATTCAGCCTAAAAATTATTAGAATGGATTCCTTTACCTAAATTGTTGTGCTGTCAGAAAACTACTGGCAAAAAAATAATCATCATGCCTCGTCGTTTTCCCCCTGAAATAATCGGCAGATGAATTAAATATTTCAGATTTCCAAGGTATTAGAAGAAATGCCCAGGATACTTTGTTTTAAATCACCTCATCTATTGACCCAATAGAATTGTGGAATTCAGCTTGACTTAGCCCCTTTAAGGTTTCGGTTCAGAGTAAGAGCGATACGCCAATGGATTAATGTTCAGCTGGACGAATTAGGGGAATTGAAGAGAATGTCAGTTTATAATCCCACGAAATGTACTGTTTTGTTATGACTTAATAGGGAGAATGGATAAAGCAAGTATGACATTGAACCAAAAGAACAGTGGATACTTCTTAACTTTATTCATTAGCTGATACAGACTTGATATCAACCGTTACTTTACCTCATTACATACCCAGACACTACATAACAAGCTTCTCTTTCATTAAAGTCTGATGACTACGTGACACAAGCTTACTGCTGGGCTTTTGGTACTTCTTCAATGAAGACACGATTCATTGAATGCCAACCAGTGTGGGCGTCAATAAGCTTATGCCCTGTGACGCACTTTCCAACCCAGAATCCCACTCGTACCTTTCCTTTCTGGATATTATTACAGTGACCTTCAATGTGGCGGTGATGATGAGGATTTAACTTTAGGCCCAACCTGTATAAGTAGAATGCACCATCAATAGTTCCAGGAGACTTGCACTCGGCTCCATTGAAGGTAAAATACCAGCGACTACAGCAGTTGTCACATCCGTAAATCCTGAGGTTACCAGCATAGTAGACGTGGAGGGCGGTGTCCGGGTATTTCTTCACAAAGTTACAGCTCTGAAAGAAAAAATAATGATAAAATATTTAAACTTTATGTCATCTATGGCACTATGAAAGTCAATTATACTCTGATGAATTCTTGGTTTTGAGAAATTTAACAATATTTTTTTTCTGGTTACATAAGGGTATTGCTCTCTTACAAATAGCAGTCCTGAATCTTTGCCGTCTCCCTTCTTCCAAGCACACTCCTTCCAGTTCATGTGTGAAGCCAGTCGTGGGGTTCCACTGTCGCCTTTGTTCCCTCGCTCTCCTTTTTGTCCGGCGGAACCCTGGATCCCACGCTCTCCCTTTGATCCTTTCTTTCCATCAGCACCACGTGGTCCCTGGGTCCCAGTTTTCCCCGGGCTGCCCAGGTCTCCTTTGGTTCCATCACGACCAGGTGCTCCAGGGGCTCCTGGGACGCATGTCATGTATGTCCACATCCCGGTTTGTCCGCCATTACAAGATGGACAAGATGAAACGTGCTGTCAAAAAGAGAAAAGTCAGTGACAAAATGCCTTTAGCTCTTGCCAATTTTAGGTTTAGGAAGTAGTTCTTTAATTTTGCAAGTTTGAAGTTGGATTTCTTTCATGAAATAGTTAATTGTGATAAAAGAAATTCATTTTTTCACCAAAGAGGATATACATTTCTACCACGTTTTCAAAACACTGATTGATTTTTTTCTGAGTTTTACAAGTAATTATACCACCCCAGTTTAGTTTGTGTTTAAAGTTTTTTATCTCTATTTTTTCCAAAACGCACTAACATTATTCAACTGTACTTATATCAATGTGCAGTGGCCATGAGTATAAATGCAGTTACCTTGGTGTCTGGTGGTTTTTTGTCCTTAGCAGAGCAGAAAGCGGCCATGAGCGATAAAATCAGTGCAAATAACATGGTGGACAGTTCAACTTGTGATTGCATCATCAACGTCCTCTAACTTGATTGTGCACTAAGTGGATTATGATATATGAAGTATTTTAGATTATTTTAAATGGAAGCCCAATAAATATGGTTAACACTATATTTCAGTCCTTATTTAAGATATGCCTCAAAAAAAGTGAACGGCTTGAATGCTATGGAATCTCCAAGACTATATATATTTTTAGAATAAAAGAAACGGCTCCTTTCATGCCAAATTTTACGTCGTCTAGCGTTATTTACAGCGTGTTTTAAGAAGTTAACTTACCTTTGCTTCAAGATTGTCAAAGCCAAATGATAGCAATGATGATCGCGACCGGTTAATTTATCTCTCTTGCAATAATTACTTAACCTGTCACGTTTTTAAACGAGTTTAAAAGAAATAGGGCTTTAATTACGTTTCGTGCCTAAAAGACGTTGAGGATTTTGATTGGTTCTTTTACCTTACCATGAAGAAATTCGTGTTTTGTATTTTTCAGTAACTCCAGGGTTCCTGAGCAGATCATACTTTTGTTCCATAGCCGAGAGTCTACCAACCACAACACCATTTTTTATATTTATTATAATTTTATTACGTGTAGGATCTATCCCTTAATATAGCTAAATTTTGTCCTTACACCACCCGGCAATCTTTTTATGCGGTGTTGTAACTTTATGAGTATGGCTGTCAGGCGCATCATCTTTTTGTGCAGTGACAAATTGAGGACAGTTTGCAAAACTGAACCTTAGTATAATCCAAACGCTGTCGTTGTTTAAATTAGGATTTGATTTTCTAAACTATATTACTGACAACTTAAAAGAAGTACAATTTTCTTTGTCTATTTCTCAATCCAGAATAAATAAAGCACAGATCTTCTCTCCTCAGCAAAGTCTAGCACTGAAATATGTGTACAGGAAATCAACAATTGGTTGATTCTTAATGGTCTTAAACTAAATGAGGAAAAAATCGAGCTGCTTCTACTCAGTTCACGTCATCATCCTAGTCCTTCATTGTAATTTTCTTCGTGTCGGGGGTGAAACTATTCAACCGTCCTCGTCTGTTCGTAATCTTGGAGTGATAGTCGATCCCAGAGCTGATATGGAAGACATTATTAAAAAGATATGCAAGATATGTCGTTTTCATTTAACTGATATTAGTAAGATCAGAACATAACATTTGGATCGTGAATCTACTGCTTCACCAGCAATTATTTATGCCTTCGTGACTACCTAAGTGAATTACTGTAATGCGATTCTATATCTTCTATATGGACTGTCTAAAGTTCTCAGCTTAAACCGCTTACAGCTAGTTCAGAATAGAGCAGCGTGTATCGTAACACTTATTATTTATAAAATCTTATTGTTAGTATATAAGGCTATCAATGGATTTTAACCAAGTTATATAATTATCCAATTTGCTCAGTTTTTGTAACAGCTCCTACTCTTTGCGTTCTTGCTCGAATAAGTTACTTCAAGTTTCTAGATCTAATCCAAACCTTATGGTGATCGGAGATTTTCTATTGCAGGACCTAAATTATGGAACGGCATACCAGCATTTTTAAGAAATGCCAGTTCCTTGAATTTCCTTCAAAAAACACTTAAAGGCATATTTATTTCACCAAGCCTTTTCTTAGTTAGTAAATAGATTTTTGTTTAATTTTCATACTTATAAACATAGGTGTTAGATTTTCTGAGTTATAGATATATTTATGCACTTCGACAGTTATTTGTTATTTTTGATATCATTATTACTACCAATTTTTTTATTCCCATTGTTGTAATTTATTTGTATCTTAATATCTTTTTTGTAATATTGTAAAGCGCCTAGAACAGCTAGTGATATTGACGCTATAGAAAAAAAATTATTACTATTATTATCATTATTATTATTATTATTATTATTATTATTATTATTATTATTATTATTATTATTATTATTAAGTTAACACAACCGGCAGTATATCCAAATAAGACAATTCTTAGTCGTACTTACTGTTGTTCGGTAAAGAAGCTAAACATGAATCAAGTTTTATACTGGTCATTGGACACTGAAAATCCTCTCTATAATGTGGCAAGTGATTGCTAGTGCTTGTTGACAATATACCTGTGTATTGAAGAGTCATTTCTACTAGTCTCTGATCTGTGTATTGGATAATGTTTGGGAAACAACAGACATTACTCTATGGGCGTAAGGAGATAAGAGCACGTGCAGCTCAAATATTGTTTACCATGTTTTCATTCCTCAACTAGTGATCTGTCTTCATAAAAGAAACGAGAAGAAAGAAGAAACAACATAAAACTTCGTATTAATAAGCATAATTTCAGTAAAGCGAGATTAACAGAAGAAGGTTTCGTACATACCAAGACTCTGCAAGTGAGTCAATCACAGAATTTCCTTGTTTGAATAAGTTTCTCGTCGAAACATGCTCACGAAACAGCCTTCATGTTCTTGTGTATTCTAATTTCTGTTAAACAATTTCAATTCCGCTTCCGGAAGTATTAGGTTGCTAAGTAATCGATGTGCCTATAATGAAAGGCCTCTTTGATATCTTAACATTTGTTGCTGGAGTTCTACTAAATCATTATAATCATCATAGTCACAACTTTTACTAAAATTAAATTGATGTTATTTTTATATAACAAGCGACATCATTGTATAATTGAAAGAACTGTGAAATCTCAAGATTACATAACCTGAACAGGTAAATTATTCCCTAAATTAAACTGAACTCGCATTGAAAGAGGGTGTGAATGGGGTTAACCGACTAGCGACAAAGGGCGAAAAATATTACTCACTACCGACAAAATGATTAAAAAATTACCGACTACCGACAGGAAAAATATAACCGACTACCGACATGGGCTGTTTGTTTCCAGAAAAAAGAGCATTTTGCATTTTTTTCTAGGAAGGAAGTAACCTCTTTAAATTTATGACTCATCAGATGGCCTAACGAAAAGACTTTCCTTTTTTTTGATACAGGTACATAGCTACAGCCAATATCAAAATCACAAAGTCACACCTTAAAGATGCTACCGACTTTATAGATTTTATCGAAACGGCAAAGGTGAAAAAACCGAACGTTTCTTGTTTCGGTCCGACAAATGCTTAGATTAATCCTCAAAGAAAATTATTTCCCGTTTAATGGAAAGCACTATCAGTATAGACTCTGGGTACCGCGATGGGCACAAAGACAGCAGTTTCCTTTCCAACATTTTCATGGTATATATTGAAACTCAAAGTTTAATTAAGCAAAAACCGTCTTTAAACCAACTGTTACATAGATAACAATGACATTTTTTCCCTATAAACCAGACATCGTAGCTTTCTTCGCGGAGCAAGTAAACTTACATCACCCTACTATGAAATTCACGGCCGAAATATCTGAAAATGAGACATTCTTTTCACAAACAGTTGTGTACCAAGGCACAACATTCAACGAAAAATGAGACAAAGCTATCCTTGACGTAAAGACGCATTTCAAACGAAAACCTTACAGTATATACATTTTCACCTCTTATCATCCACCAACTGTTAATTAAAAGCACTTGTTGCACAAACGAGAAGCCTTAATTGAGAATCCTACGAACAAACTCCTCTGAGGACTAAATATTTCAGATTTGAAAAGCGCTTGATGGACGAGGCTAGCCACACAATTTTTAAAGAAAAATTGCTATTAGAAGTGAAACTCACGGAAAGAAAGGCAGCTCTCTTGAAAAAAAACAACAAGGAAGGAAAAGAAATATTGCCTTTCGTGGTACAATACCAGCCCTTAGTGTCTATTATAAAAGAAGTTTTAATGAAAAAGTGGAATCTCATACAAAACCAACCACTACCTTGACAAAATTTTAAAGAACCACCTAAAGTGCTATATCTTTGAGAAAAGAAAATTATGGCAAAGGACATGCTTGTTAGAGCCAAAACATAAGAGGGATAGATGTGCAGCCTGTCACCCCTTGCAGTTTTTCACTAAAAATAATTGAAGTATCCAAAAGGCTATAGTCCATTGATTAATTAATTACTTTTTACTGTGCCCTGTAGTCTACCGGGAAACCAAGTTCGCATTTACAATAAAAACTTTGGTGATTTTATCAGCACTCATCATATTCATTTGGCAAACAATAGTGAAATAAACGATCTTGTTGCATAAATAAGCAAGACGGTTAATGAAGTTTGAGTGCAATCAAATGATGCATTCTTACAATTTTTACTTTTCCCTTAGCGATCAAAGTCTCGAAAAGTGGGTGAAATACATAAAAATTATTGATAATCAACAAGCGTTTTTACTAATTCACTAAGATTTTCCAACGACCGACAAAAATTGAAACGTTTAACCGACTACCGACAAAGATCGAAAATTTTAACCGACTACCGACAAAGTTACTGAATTTTAACCGACAACCGACAAGTGGACCCCCCCCCCCCCCCCCCCC